GCAGGATTGGGGAATTCACAAATGTATGGTCTAATCTGACTTCCAAATTACTGTAGGTTTGGGGGGGGTTTTTGTTTTGTTTTTGGGGTTGTGTTTGGGGTTTTTTTCTACATCATCATCATTAAAGCTAAAGTCTTCCACCAAAACCCCAAGGTGTCTTGAACACCTTGCCTGCCATCTGAGGGGCAAGATATGAGAGAGAGCATCACAGGCTGGGGAAAAAGCTGAAAACAGCAGCCTAGGCTTTTCCCCCTTGTTACCTTTCTGAACTTACACTCATCACATCCAAAAAAACCTGTAGCTCTGGCATTCTCCCACACTAAGTACACTTATGAAAGCAAGAGATACACACAAACATATTAAAAATACTTGTGTCTCAACAAAACAACCCGCCTCATGCATGGCTCAAGTATGGCCTTCTTTTACAAACCCAACAGATAAACCAGCCCGTTTACCTCCTCACATTCTTTTTCAGATGTAATACTATTAATGTCACTGTCTTTTGAGTACACACACACATATATATATAGATTTGTGTATAAGAAATCTTAGTGTGAAAAAAATAGGAAAGAAACCTACTTTGCCAATGTATCCCTTAAGTGCAAGAATATCAGTCTGGGCTAAAATGAAGGCAATTTACAAAAGCAGACATTAGGAATCGAACAGATACTTGTTAATAAACAAAACACCATCATGTCCAAAAAATTAAAGTATCACTTTCAACAAATTAATGGGAAATTACATGTATTTCAAAAAATAAACATAACTGGTGGGAGCTACATGGTTCCAAAAACATTTGCGCTTTTAAAAATGGCTTAGTTTTGGTGTCTTTGCTTTAATTGATAGCCCTGCAGAAGTATATTTTTCTTGGCAGTGCAGTTAATCAGTTAAGTATGTTGAGAAATATCCAAAAGCGCCTTTATCATTTCAGAATCGTTTTTTTCATTACTCAAGAGCTAGCTATAATTCCAAGAGGCTCACACACGAAGTTAATGTTAATATTATCAGGTGAGCTTCTAATTTATCAGCAATGAAGTAAAAGTATTTGCTCAATCTCAAGCAAATATCTGAATGTAACACACACTTTCTATACTTGTTCTTCAGGTATAGTTCTCAAATGTGATGGCAATACAGGTTCTTTATTATTTTGTATTCCACTGTTCTCAACAGAAATATTTGTACATTCTAAAGTATTGAAAAAAATCCATAAAAGCTCATTCTTTCTTCTTAAATTGAAGTTATACCGCTACAGTTATACCTAAAGATTTACTGTGTTGAAGGATGATGAGGGTACTAGTGATATTTTTCCCTCCTTAAAATGAGTAAGAACTAAGACTTCTTTTCATCTATGCCATGGCAGAAGTTTTTAATGTGTTCCCACTGTATTTGGTATATGAACAAATCCAACAGGCTTCTTAATTTGAGTATAAATCTGTTCATTTTCTGATGCAGCTGAAATGATTAAGGCAGATCACAAAATACACAGTTAGGACATGCAAAACACTTCACCTAGCAAAAAAAGTCTATCTTCCCACATAATATCATGGAAATGGACATACACTTGGATGTTAGTAAAGCAAAACAACATTACAGACACTTGAAAGAAAAAAAATAAATTACTTAAATAAAGATGGAAGGCTCAGCGATCATGCTTATCTCATTTTTACAACAGTATGTTTTAATATTGCACAGCAGGGTGGATTTTTACAGTTGATAGCAACATAATAAGTCATTCAAAAATAAATAAAAGAGAAGATATTTACTTACTTCTCAGAGGCTTTTAATGTCTCGCCATCTTTTGTCCAAGTGTATTTCACTTCACTAATACCAGCTGTTTCACACAGTAGATTGACAGCATGAGTATTCTTGGTCAGAAAAACCGTATTTCCAATTTGTACAGTTACTGTTTTGTTGAAGGAAACTCGAGGAATTTCCTTTTGCCTCATAATAACTGGAACCTTCTGGTCTAACTTTAACTTATCAACAGTTTTTGTGCTGAAACGTTCAGATTCATTAGGTGATTTGCCTGTGAGTTTTGAGGCAAGTTTCTCATCCTGGGCCCCCTTCCATTTTTCAGTAGTTGGTTGTGGAGGCCTAGAAAATTCAGCAACTAATTGATAAATGACCTGGGATGCCAAGTCGTCATTGACTTCTCCAGTTTCAATGAGCTGACTCATGTTCCTGATCAGTTCTTCAAACTGCACGGTGTCCATGCTGTAGGCGCCTCGGAGAACTGCTGCCTCCAGTCGCTTATTCCTGAATTCACGAGAGCTGAAGTCTTCTGCTGAATTACTCCCAAAGGTTTCAGGATTTCGCAGAAATGGCTGATCATTTACTTGCCTGTCACCTAGATAGAGCTCATTCTTCTTACTCCACATTTGCCACATTTTGCTCATTTTATGCCATTTGGCCCCAAAGCTGTTGGCCTCATTGTGATCAGTGTTACTGGTCTCCCTGGCATGTTTTCTAAGATTTGGTGGTTCTATCAATCTGTTGTCAGTACCAATGAGTTTGAGTACAAATGTTTCATGCACAGAGCCTGCAATACACCGGTACACACCAATATCGGTAGCTTCAAGACTATGTATTTTCAGCGAGCCTGACTTAGTGATGCCAAGCCTTTTAGAGTTTTGTAGGTGTTGTCCATCTTTCTCCCACCGGATAAGTGATTTCTGGAACCTTCGTACAGGGCACTTAATTACAACAGATGTTTTTGGAAGTAAGTAGGCTCGGCTTCCTATGGTAAAATTAATGCGCTTCTCTTGTCTTGTTTGAATATAGACTCGGTGAATACTGAGAATCTGAGGTCCATGAGCAGAATACTTTTCTGGAAGCTTTGGTTTAATCTCTGAAAGAAAACAAAGCATTGAAAAGTATCTAGTCATTGGCACTCACGCTTACAAAATCTGCTTTTCACAGAATGCTTGACAGAGCTTTTCCTGACTTTGTTCAAGTCAGATTGCAACATGCTGAGCTTTTATCTGAGTCACAAAAATGCAAAAATATGAACAACATGAAACCATAACATTCCCCTGCTCCAGCCAAGAATTCTATTGCTTCTTCCCCAAGTCTCCTAACAATAAAAAGATACAGGCAAAATGTACCCATATGAACGACATAGGTGGTGCACACGTACGTAAATGCATATATATATGTATTATATAATATATTAATTTATACTATATATATAATCCTATTATGGTTATATTTCCTATGTATTTCCTATTGCTGCCTCAGAAAGGCTAGGCATGATGGGAATGGAAAAAGTGAATAAAAAATTTGAACACTTTATCACTTTCCCCACATTTGAGCACTGCCGAGTACAGAATGACCTAAATAGAACAAAACCTATTCAAAAAGTAAGGCTCCCCTTGACTGTTATTTAAATTGTTGGCTGGCCATGCTGGTTGACTGATTGAGTCAAGCCTAATTGATAGCAACACAGGAGGTGAAAGAAACAGTCAATGAAGACACAGTACATGCATCAAGCAAAGCCACTCTGTAATCATTGGCTGAGGGTAATTTCTTTGGGTTGAAAGATGAGTTGCTCACAGTGTTGTGCCAAGAAAGTAGGGAAGGATGGGAGGAAAGAGAGAAATGAGTCAAAATTTTGAGAGGTGGAATATAGTAATCAGATGAATTGACAAAAGCCAGCAATAACTGCATAAAGCTTCATGCAGACTGGGTATGGAGACACTGGGTATTATGAAGCTCCTCCTGCATTGTACTCCAGGCACTTGGATGCTGAAAGGTTTCTAGGGAGCTGCCTGAATGAATACCACCACAGGCAGGCTTTCCCAGCAGTGGCTGGATAGGCACACTGGAGACAACACGAGAATGACTGCAATGTTTCGGATACCACTGTGTTGACTCACTGCTGGCAACTACTGTGCCCCACTTTGATCAGTAGAACTAATCTTACTAAGAAAACACTAGGTAGGTGAGAAAAAAAGCACTGTAGGAAACGTGGAGCAAGGGCACACACCCCCTGAGTTTGTTCCATGCAAGATGAAATTGGCCAGCTGGGAAGAGTCGGGAAACACTCTGCGTTGGTGCTAGAAAACAAGCCAATTGTGTTTGGTGACCCAGCCTTTTGGTATGTGACAGAGAAAAAACTCGGAGCCTGCAGAATGAGTTGATGAGCCAGGAAACGGACACACAAAATGCTTCTCAGCGTGCCTGAATCTGAAATCATTACTACTATTCCACTTGGTAGGTACATAAATAAAATGACAACTACACTGATGGCACACAAATAATATTTGAAAAACTGCATGCTTCTTACATACATATGCTTCAAATATGCTGTGAAGAAATAGGTGAAAAGCTAAATGCTTCAAGCATTCAATAAGTGTGTACACTGTATGAACTACACCCTAGAGTGCATTCTTATACTTATAAAACAAAATGGTTATTTTCAATGTTTTGGGTAATGAGTTCAAACCTGTGGGGATATCATGGTTTCATAATTACACAGCTTTTAAATCGGTATTCGTTATCCAGATACATGGTTCCCTCAACCATCTCACGTGGTACAACAAATACATTGCTTTAGGCACTCAGTTTACTAAAATTATTAAAGTAGCGTCCTGTTTTTAATAAGTTACTGGGCCCCAAATATTTATTTTTAGGGAAGTGTTCCAGTATTAAATCTTCCCTTTCCAAAGTCCAACTTACAGACACAGTAAGTGTAACTTTAAACACACAAATTAAAATACTTCAGGCTGTGCTCTGTTTACACTAGTTATTCCAACATGGAATTAAACCCAGTGCATACTTATAAATATGTTAACAAGTCTCATCCATTTCATTTTTTAAAAGAAGAAAGACCACTAACTCTCATTAGCAGTTCAACACTAAAGGGTGTGTGTATTTTTACTGGTGACTGGTGAGCAAGGCTAGGAGTGAAACAAAGTTCAGAGCTGTGGATGGCAGGCCATATAAATATATAAGGTCATATAAATATATGAGGCCACATAAGTATGCATTTTCTAGATCCTTAGTATCATCCAGTCTTGCAGCTGCTGAGGTAACTGACTGTTTGGGAGAGGTTATTTTCTACAAGGTAAATCTTGCTTAAGGATTAGATCGTACTGGAGCCATTGGACCTCATTATCACCTGGTACAAATCCATCTGAGTCTATGACCTCTAATGGTCCTCTACAGCTTTAGGAGGGCGTCAGGTCCTGGTGACCTGAAGGCTAGACTGGTGGTATTTCCTATTTTTCATAGCCCAAAGTCAGGAATGTTTCTGACTTAATAGGGCTTATTAAGCAGAAAACTGCTACGATTACTAGTCCCAGGGTAAAAGATTAAGTTTGAAAAGCCTCAGCACTGTCATGAGACAGTAAAAAAGAAGCAGCTCATCCGAGCCACAGAAGCATAATCTTGAGGAGGCACATTCAGAAACACTGCTCCCAAAGGCAAGAATCCCTGTCAGCATGCATGCCGTGCATCACACGACTCTTCACTGAGTTCGCTTCACTCTTCGTAGCTAGCTGCCTGCCCATCCTAGGGCCATGCTACGTTCCTGCCTTCTATTCACTCCCCCTTCAAGGCAGCCTGAATCCATTGCTTCAGGAGGAGGAGATGCCTCCTGCACGTTCCTGTGAATCCAAAGGCTGCTGCTGCCGCTGCCCTGGCTCCTTCTGCAAAACCCAAAAGGGAGCTATGGGTCCAGACATGTCTCACGCCTTCCCCTGCCCTCCTGTTGCCTAGCCGGGGAATTGCCAGGCAGATCTGAGCTGCAAGGGCTCCCTTGTTCCAAATGGTTGTGGAGATGAAGGGAGAGGACAGTGACTCTCTTTTATGACTTTGATCTGCACCCATTCAGTATAATCACATTCTCTCTGCAGTCCGCTGTCCTGCTTTCTTGGCACTGTGGTAGAAGCTGACAACGTAACTTTAATATCAGTCTGTGCTAAGCAATTTGCAAACCAGCTACACTGCCATTCAACTATCCACAATTAATTAAATTCAGATAGATATGCAGCTCAAAATATTTTATTAAACCTTATGCCAAGGACATTCCTGAAAGTCCACAGGGCTTTATTTAAGTGGAGTTTTGAACCTCAGGATTTTGGCATGTTAATCTGAAATGCAGGCCAGGAAAAGAAGTTTCATATTATGTATGAATCAGTAATTATTCAAGTTCTTATTTTGTTTTGCGAATAATTTTTAAAGCAAAGCTTCAAAATGTATAAAGTAGCTATTTCTTGACAGCACTATGAATTGGGTCAAAACATGTCTATCTCTGTGATCTGTGATCAAAACCAGGCCATTCATGAAGGCTTTTGGTTTTTCCCCCACCTCAAAACTAAAAATTCTCCTTTTTTCCTTTCTTTTCAGCACCCTGTTCCCCAAACCTACAAACTAATATCCTCCTTTATAAAGGAAGGAGAGCACAGGTTGAGACTTAAGGAACCTGCATTTAAAACTGCCTAAGTTACTGTATGTAATTGAACATATTCTACATCAGTAAGGTATTTCCATCAGTAATATACGTATGTAATTAGTGCAACTGCCATCAGTATCATAACTCCATTGTGCCCAAATCATACAATTCCTATCGACAGCTTTTTCTGAAAAGATTTTTTATATAGGCAGTAATAAAATACTGGGTATTTTGAAGAGTGTCTGTAACGTCATCACTTCCTGCAAAGCTCATGAGACTGGGATTCTCACTTTTACAAAGAAAGATAAAAATTATACCTAAAGTTATCACTGGCACAGAGTTTCAGGTTTTGAATTCTACCATGCTAAGCAAAATGTCCAGCGTAATGCAAATGTACAGTGAAGAGACAAGCCAGAACTGGATTCTTATCTTTTGTAATGTCCTTTGTAATTTAGACTCCATTTATGGATTTTTTTTTTTTCTTTTTTCAGTTGGGATAGCATAAAGGATAAAGGAAAAAGTAGATCAAATGTAGGTAAGCATGAGGGTAAGAGGTATGTACCATTGAAGTGTATTGAAAAACTACTTCGTTAGATCATAACCTTTATTTCTGCCTGGCAGAAAAAAATTTAAAACAATCCTGTTATTACTGGTCTAGTAATTATGACACTCAGTTTATGCCAGATTAGTAATGTTGTGCAAGTATAAGGAGATGAGTGAATTAACCTGTATACAGATTTTTCTTTATAAATAGATCATTCAAAATTAGCAAGAAACTACATAAAGTAACATACTTACTGTTGCAGGCATTCATCTGACAAGACCTTACAAGCAGTGAAGGAGACAGACCACTACACATTGATCCATTTAATGTGACATATTGGCCCTTTGCTGTTAGGTTTTGGCAGGCAAGTTTCCTTCTCTGGATTCCAACACCGCAGCTTACCGAGCACTGCGAAAGGAAGGATGCAGTCAAACTGAACTTGGTGTCCCATGCCACACATGCTAATTTTAAACTAGTTTGGGTTTGGGGGATTTTTTTGCTTCTGAGAGAGAGTGCATACACTCTAGTTCATATGAATCTTCATGTTATCCAGACATTAAACTCTCTTCACTTTTCCAGGCAATAAGAACATAAAATAGATTATTTGTTCCAGCAAGCAGCTCGGGAACAATTACAATAACATGACAGTATTTCTTTATGTCCAACCATGGGCAGAACAGAGCAATGAGATCTAGTATCTAAGAGAAACAATTCAGCATGTTCCAAACAGTCTGTGTCAAGGCTCTCAACCCCCTCTCCTATTTTGTATTGCATGAACCTTTAATTGCAGCTTCTAAATTCACTTTTACAAATCTTTCTTGAATAGCGTGTGGTAGGCAAGCTTGCATTAAATGGGAAAGGAGGAGGACATATTCCAGAATAATGAAAAGATTTGCTTTTTGGAAATTGTACTATGTACATTGATAGTTAGACACATCTGGTAGAATGCATGCAATGCATTACAGCCTGTCCTTCAGCAACTGAAACACAGCTCAAGAAGGGGGGTGTGATTAGTCTGGTTGTAGGCAGGGATGCACAGCAACTGTATGCAGTTTAGTCCAGGTACATGCCCTGCAAAACTTTCAGCTACCCTGTGAATTTATTGCTCCAAACATCTTATTCATCCAAGCAGAAATCTTTAGAGCTCTTGTTGTAACTGAAGGTTACAACCCCTTGTTGGGGGCTGCTTACCTTGGACCATTCTCCTACAACTAGCTGAGGAGGACAATCAACTTTTGCACATGGTTTACTAGTTGGCAATTTAGGTTCCTGGCAGGTGTCATCAGAGTGTTTCAGGAAACTTCCATCTGTCAACAGCTGTTTACAGTACACTTTGCGGGTCTGAATCCCTCCTCCGCAAGTACGTGAACACTAAGGAGAAGAAGAGAACATAGCGTGTACACCTGCATGGACATCTGTGCTCACCCATCACACTTGTTTTACACAAACACTGTAAGCTCCTCCTCCCACCCTCCCCCCATTATGCTCTCTTGAAAAATTACTTGAAAACGCTCTCTTGAAAAATCTACTTTTAATTAAAAAGCAAGCAGCATGTAGAAAATTCTTCTGTTAAAATGTTCAGCTGGTATATTAGAGATGATGAAAGCCTAACTACGAAGTTAAAAAATCACACCACTTGAATGCAATTAAGTAGTAGAAATCTTAAAGAAAAACATGCATCTTACACATAGATCTGCCTATGCCTCTCATCAGTTAATACACGTGGTGGGAGTTTAGGAAACTTTGTCCTTGAGGTAAAAAAAAATGAAGCAATGTCTCCAAAAGCAGGTTATTGCATTTGGAGAGCATAGAAAGAGAGGTGATGTCTGGAGTAACTGGTATCCAGCCTTCTGAAATCTTAAGAAGGACTTTCCACCTCATCCCGTGACTACCCATTGGTATAGTAGTCAAAAGCAGTATTTTTGATTCTGGATTAGTTTGTTCTAATGAAATCAGTTGAAACACTTACATATTGAAGTTTAGGAGCTACCTTCTGTGTTATTCCAGCTAAAGAATTTCAAATACCTAGCCAGGGGAACACATTTAAACTATTTCTGTAACCCCATCATACCTGTTGCCATTCCTCAACATGCCAAACAGGGGGACAATCAATCTGGTTACAAGCTTGTAAAGAATGAGGTTTTTTGTCTTTGCAGTCTTCAGCAGCAACAGCAGATCCTCCCGGCTGCTGGCAGAATACATCTCTCGTCTGTATCCCAACCCCACACGTAGCTGAGCAGCGTCTCCAGGGGCCGCTTTGCCACCTGTTCCAACAACACAGCCCAAAGCCCGCCTTTTACAAACTCGCCTCGCATTGCCGAAGGAGCAATCATACCCAAACAGACCCTAGCAAAAAGTAACTGAAGGCACAGGTATTGATAGATGGCTGAAACATCCCTTTGGTTTGGCTGTAATGTAAAATTATAAACTGGATTTATAAACTTGCAGGTAACAAGAAAATGCAGAAGTTATTAACAATGAAGTAATAAAGAGCCATTTCCAGACAAATTTAACTCCAGCATTCACTTTCAGAATGCTCCTCATAAAAAAACCAGCCTGTTGGCAACCTGCTGATGTTTACATTTATAAATGTAAATATGTAAATAGACCTTTCTTACATTTACAAAACTTCCTTTAAATGTGTATATGTTTTCTATAAAACATCCTGTTCCTGTTAACTTCTTCACTACATGTTGCAAGAGGAGGTTTCTGCAAACACGTAGAAACAATATGCAAAGGATCAGGGATGTCTGAGATCAAAAATGGGGAAATAAGGCAGCGCATGTCAAAATTTCACATGTGGCCCCTTTCAAGTGACTAAATTAGCTAGGTTTTCTTGGATTTGGACTGGGTTTGTTCTTTTCCCAGGATCTCCAAATAAACATAAGAAGCCATAAGAACTATGTGAAGCTACTAAAGAAGGATGAATTAAAATAACTTTAAATCATAATTTCACTTTTTTCATTTAGTAAGGATAGAAAGTAAATATTCTCTGTTTTTTTGTGAAATTGCCTTGTACCTTGTGAATTTTCCTTGTACCACTAGAAGAGTTAAGGCTGTTTTTCCAGCTCTGGGAAATATCTACACAGAAGAGATTTATTTCAGAAAATGTTCCCTATTTTATTAGTGAGATGTGAAGAGTGGAAAAGGAGTGAACAAGAGGAAAAAAAAAAACCCAACCCCAAAACCTTGTTAAAGACGGAAGTAGTGAAATTTCACCCCAAAGCAAGACCACAGTCCTGCAACCTGAACCCTTTCTGAGAAAGCCAATGTTTATTTAAGTCATATTAACCATTTCTTTGCCACAGTAGGATTTCATTATTACAGTGTACCTCGGAGGGCAAAGCTTCATATTGCAGGTACGAGTCATCGGTGGTGGTCTCTTGGAATTGTCACACAGGGTTTCATTGACGGCTTGTTTTGTCTCTACATGCAGACACATTGCAATGGCTTCTTGTGTTCCTGAATTAGAAAGGAAAACACTCATGAAACGCTGAAAATGGAAGAGATTTCTGTAAAGCTTACTCTTTAATACTCAGTAATAAAGCTCCAAACACTGAATTAAAAAAGAACAAAAGGAACACAGAGATAGTTTATGTATTTAATACTCAGAAGATATTTGCAAATTATATCTAGCACTTTATTCTGTAATGTTTAAAAGGCTTGATTTGACATTCTACCTCTCTGAAAACCAACGGAAAATAGGCTTCTCTGTCTACCATCAGAAGCTACATCTGCCTGGTTCTGTCAAGGTCCCAAGCCAACTACTGGTTTCATTGCCAAAATCAGGGTAAAAGTGATTCCTTCTCACTTACCTTGACTTCAAGGAGCTAAAGATCCGCAAAAAATGTAATTAAAAAAAAATGCAGAAAACTTGCAAAACTATAGTCAGGAGAATGGCTGACTAAACATAGAACCTTTCTCACAGGGGCTAAGAGGTGCAATAGTTTTGCTGAAGGCAGCAAATCTGACACAGCCTAGAGCTTTCCTCGCTCGTGACCATTCTTGGCACCTTCTGATCTGCAGCTCTTGCTACCTGGATCTTATTACTGAAGCATGAAAGATTACTAATAGTCAAATTTCTATGAGTCAAAATGAAACGTAATATAAGTTTGCTTTAGAAAAAGTCAGCTTAGAGAATACACATACTGTGAACTACTTTTATTTTAAACCTATGTAATTATCCAATTTTATATATCATATTTTTCAGTATGAAAGCCTTGCTCAATTTCACAGCTCGCTCACATGCACATGAAAGACAAGATGGTTTATGATGTACTTGGAGGATCCTGTGTACCTGGGATGTTCTATATAAGCAATGCTAAAGATCATAATCCTGTAGAACAAACAAGCACTGAAATAATAAAATACCTATTTTGTTGCTTCCAGGTAAAAATGGCTTTTGAAGAGTCACAGTTTAAAGAATTTAAATCCATTTCCTTCCTGTCTTTCACTTATCTGCAGCTTTCAGCAGCAGGTTATATTTCTTTTCTTACAACCAACTTCTTAGGTTTTAAAGGGTGTTGCATTTTTAACCAGAAAGCTTCACAAACCGCTTCATGGTATCATCTATGACATTACCTCAAAACCCCACCACTATTGTTATATGAAGGCTACTATAACTATTCCTGCTTCTGTGTCAGCTGTGCGTGACGACTGGTTTCTTGGCACTGTTGATCGTTAGCCATTCTGATTTCAGTGGGCTCAATGAAATATCCTGCACTGAAAGTTTCGTCTTCATGCCAATGGCCCATATTTCTCTCTTTAACGACACGTTCATGACCACTGTCATTCTTTTCATAAACCAAAGCTATTCCTTCCATCTATAAACAATTCTGATGTACTCCAGCGTATCAGCCGGCCCGGGCCACAATCCCTCTTTGCGACACTTGAACCAGTCCAACTATTTCAGACACTTCAGCAG